GCACGCTAGCGTACGCCAGCGTTTCTCCAGCGTTTCACCAGCGTTTTGCTAGCGTTTGCAGCGGCAGGGGAGTAGAGACTATGGGAGAGCTGGAGGGTAAACACATCGATTGCGCGTCTCTCACTCGCCCTTAGTCTCTACTGATGGCCCAATCGCTTCCTGTCGTCTCCGACGGCCCATAGTCTCAGGGGGGGGGCGATGCACAGTGCTTTTCTGCGTTCGCCGCACGCACATAGTCTCTACAATGCACATCGCTTCTGCGTCTCCGACGGCCACATGGTCTCTACAATACACGTCGATTCCGCGTCTCTCACGGCCACATAGTCTCTACTCCCTGCCGCTGCAAGCGCTAGCAAAACGCTGGTGAAACGCTGGCGTACGCTAGCGTACGCCAGCGTGCCGCTGGTGACGCTGGTGAAGCTAGATCGATATGCATCCTCTCTTCGGCACTGCCGCTGGCGTACGCTGGAAGCGCTACGCTACGCTGCCGCAAAGTATAAACGCAGCCATATTAATAAGAAATCTATGACCAGAAAGTATAAATAAATAGTATGGAAAAGCACTTACAAATCGAATACGAGGTAATGAAACGACTCCTCTTGAATGCTGTCATGAAGACGAACTGAAAATCCAGGTTTTCTTCACTTCCAATTGTTTTCCATATATTAAAAAAAAGAAAAAAAGAAAGAGAACACTATAAGACTTCTGCATAAATTAGACTACAATGCTCGAGTCTTCTCTTCTTCGTTTTCTACCGTCCCAGGGCACTTGTCAACCGGGGAGCCTCTCCTTCTCTTTCCTTTTTTTTCCTCCTTCCTTCTTTTCCTTCCTTCCTTCTCTGATCCCTCCTCCTTTACCTTCTCCCTTCAACTACTGGAACTGGACTGGTGAATTCCTCCAGAAAATAGCACTAGACTCTCGCACCGAGAGCACGTCTGGTTGGCAAGTGCCCCATAACCCACCAGTACAGTCTTGCACTAGTACAGTCTTGTTCGCTGCGGACGGTGGGGCGTGCCAGGAGGGTTGGCTTTGGTGCGTCATCAGCTGTTTCTCCATCAGTTGTGGAAGCTGGTAAGCGACCGCAGTGCTTGAAAACTGGTTGACACCGCGCCAAACCCAACCTCCCCTGATGAACATCACCATCCGCGGCGAACAATACTGTGGTTTTGGGTATAGTCAGGTTAGAGACATCCGAAGCGACATCGCGGGCTGACTGTGCAGCAGAGGAAAACCATTTCCTAGCTAGAGGATCTGACGGCTGCAGCATTGCCACGTTCAGTTAGCTGGACCCTGTACGAATGAAGCGATTGTAACGAACTTTTTTTACTGCCCTCACAGCGGCTCAGCTGTAGTGAATTACCCTCATAATTTTGGTAGGGAAGAGGAATAGGCGATTCTGGAGAACATACATACAATGCCAAGGAACGAAATCTTTTATTGGTAGAGGGGTGGGGGGGAGGAAATCTCGACTCGGTAACTCGGGAAATCTCGACTCGGTAACTCAGTGCTAGACTCGCCTGTGGGGTGAACACAAAAGCAAGCACTAGTAAAATCCTGACATGGAGATTCATGACTTCGCTGGCAACCTGTGCAGAAATCTTGTGCTCTTTCGAAATAAGTCTTTCAGAGTCGAAAATTTAAAGCCCGATTTATGGAATCAAAAACTGAAATCATGAGTTCACCTATCTCAAGGGAAAAAAGTCAATGCAGGTTTAAATTAAACCAATGCAAATTCTATGCAAACATAGTTAGACCATGAAAAAGACATTTGCTGAACGTCGTTTGTACTCACCTATATTAGGATGCTGAAGCTTCCGGCATATTCTCGCTTCACGTTCTAATTTCTGAAAATCCCTGGCCGAAAGCTTCTTTGTATTGATGATTTTGGCAGCAAACTCTGCTGCTGTCGCTTTATGTACGCATCTGCGCACTACAGAGAAAGCACCTCTGGAAATGATACCAGCATTATATAAAAAAGTCATTAATGAAAACAATCTGTGCAAAACGAGTTTTTGCCGCTTGTGACATATTTGAAGCCTTCTTTGGAGATGCACAGCCTTTCTTAAAAAAAATTGCATTGTAACAGCGTTCAAACCAATGACCTGGATATTGCCCATTTCAAAATTTGCAACGACTCCACAAAAAATCGCAAATTGCAGTGCGAAAGGGCGGACAATACCCGTCAACCATGGTACACTATGAATATGCAGAAGCAATGGAGCACATTGGTTGCAGAAATTTTGCTTACCTGCGCCCAAGAGAAAATAATGAGGAAGGCTTGAACAAATATCTTCCATAAAAAAACCTTATGGGTCAGCAAAAACTTCAGCATGTGAAAATATTCAATTTCAGGTAAGTAAGTGATTATGATGCAGGAAATGATATTCAGTTCTGGCAGTGACCGTGGAGCTAACCACGGCAAAAACGATCGGTCCAAGAGGCCGTCTGAAATGAGATGTGAGCTGGCGCATGCACGGATGGTTTTGAAACTGCCTCTCAAGAATGCTGAATGATTTTCTGAAAAAAATTATGGTGGTTTTTTGAGGGCGCGCTCAGCCCGAAAAGCCTCCATAACTTTTCTCGGAGGATTGTTTAGCAGACCCAATCTCAATCTCACTGGATCACTTCGACCAATCATCCTTCCCTGGTAAGACCAATAAAGCTGCATATATATGTGCTGGCTAACCATATAATCTGGGCGTGCTGCACCATTAAATCCACGAGGATAAGTACAGTGTTTACAGACGAGTCCCTACTTCTCGCTTAAGCCACGTTCATACTTTGCAATTCGGTCGTGTAGATTGGGAATCGCCCGACTGCAACCTCATTCCATTTTTAAACGATTCTCAGCAGTAGTGTCCAAAAGAGATTCTATCCTGCCATGAATGAATTAGCAGTTGCACCTGGACAACTATTAATAATGGAGCGCGGCAGGTCGCAGTCGTGCCGTTCCCAAATCGTGCGATCGCTTGAGTCGTGCAATACAAACGTAATCCTATCAAGATTTCATAATAAAACAACTTATCCAGGCAGACAATTTCTCAATATGGTCAAGTCCGAGCTGCAAGTGGGATTACCAGTCGTTTACTAACCCTTGATAGAAATAGTGATACGGGCAAGACTGTGTTCATACTTTGCAGCAGCCTCCACGAGCGTCCACTAGCGACCACCTAGGAGAGTATGGTTTCGATCCAGCGTCTACCAGCGCCTACCAGCGTCCATTGTCGTCCGCCAGCCACAGTGTGTCGAGGGACTAGGGAAATATGGATATGGAT